GCGGCCCCGCCGCAGCCCCGCAGCGGGGTGCGCAGAGCCCCGCGCTCCGCTCCGCTCCGCGCGCGGATCCGCGCAGCCCGCGGCAGCGCGGCCACTATCAGCCGTGCGCACGCATATAAATACACACGTATGTGTATTGCTTTAAGCAGCCCCGCGGCGCAATGCTCGGTCATTCCCCTTGTGTGGCACGCACGAAATGGCAACTCGCGCTCGAGATAGATAGATAGATATAAATATAGCTCCTTCTCGCCGCGACCGCGCAGGGCGGGCGCAGCGGGCGAGGCCGGGCGCGGAGGGCCCCGCGCCGGCTCCGCGGCTCGCACCTACCTCGCCGAAGGTGCAGGACAGGTAGCCGAAGCCCAGCAGCAAAACGCAAGCCCAGGTCCTCATCGCGGGCGCTGCGGGCAGGGCGGCGAGGCGCGGCGGCGGGCGGGGGGCTGCGGGCCGGCTCCTGCCGCGCAGCGCTTCAGCACCATCCCCCGGGGGCGGCGCGGCGGGGGGGCGCGGGGCCGCTCCGCATGGGCGCCCGTCGCCGCGGCCTCGGGCCGGGCGGCGCCGCCGCGGGGTTTTTGTACGTTCCGCGCGCTCCTCGGCGCCGCGCGCGCGCTCCGCTCCTCTTGGCTCTTTGCACTAGACCAGCCGGTACTTCTGCATATTTGCTTAGATCAGACCGAAGTGAAACCCAAGGAGTCGATCCGGAGCGCAGCCGAAACGCCCATCACCTGTGTGGGGCGGCTCGCCCCCCCCGCCCCCCCGCGGCGGGCGGCGCTGGGGCCGCCCCCCCCGGCGCCCGGCAGCGGCGCGGAGCCTCCGCGCGATTCGCCGCGTTTCCCCCTCCCCGCTGCGCTGCCCTCCGCCCTCTCCCCCCTCCGCGGAAAAAAAAAGGAGGGGGGGAGGGAATTAAAAATATAGAGTAAAATTAAAATATATTTAAAAAAAAAAAGAAAAAAAAAGGTCTTTATTGATACGGATGGCAGTGTTTCTCCTGCTGAGAATGGTCCCTCTTCCCTTCCCGCCTGGGGGGCGAGGTGAAAAATAATAATTGGATACGGGTAAGAGCGGTGATAGATCGGAGCGGTACTGCAAAGGTCTCGCCGGCTGCCTCGGTGTGGCTGCTTCCCCACTTCGCACGGGCGAAAAGCGCGGAGGAAAGAGGAAAAAAAAATCTCTGTCTCTATAGGCAAGAAGGTTTAAATCCGCAGGGGGCCGGAGCGAGGAGCAGGTCCCGGCTTCGCGCTGGCCTGTGCGGAGCGGCGCGGGCGGCGCAGCCTTTAGCGCGGCGCGCGGCTCGCGCCTCCCCCGGCCCGGCCCCCGACACAGGCAGCGGCGGGGCCGCCGCTCCGGGGGCTCTGCCCGCCCGCGGGGGCGGCGGGGCACGGAGAAATCATCACGAAACGCTGCTGATAACCGCGGCGGGGGCAGCCCCGGCTCTCTGCGGCACCGCGGCGGCCGTGCCCTGCCCGCATCCACCTTGTGCCCTGCGAGGGGCCCGCCGTGGCTGGGGGGAGGGCGTCTCGTGGTGATTTCCCTTTTTTTATTAGTTTTTTTTGGTGGGTGGGAGGCTCTTTTTTTTTTTTTTTTTTTTCCAGGGGGTTGGTGTTTTCTGCCTTTATTTATTTATTTATTTCCTAATTTGCCTTTACTACTGCAGCTCAGGCTTCACAGCATGGGAGAAAACAGAAAAAAAAAAAAAACTTAAGAACACCTCCTCCCCCCAATAAAACCCCTATATATGTGTATATATGTGTGTGTACCTACACACCTGCAATAAAGGCCGGCGCAGCGCGCGGCGGGCGCCCCGCTCCCTGCGGCTCGCGCGCGTTGCGCGGGCGCGGGGCTCCCCGCCGCGGCCGCGGCTCGCGGCGCCCCGGCCGCCCCCCGCGCCCTGCCCCGCGCACCCTCACAGCCCCGGAACTCATTGTGATTTAAATAGCGGCCCTTTCTCAGCCAAACAAAGCACCTTAATAGCAGAGGCAAAGAATTCCGCTCATCTGAAAATCCAATAGCATTTAAGTGGATTAACTGCAATAACACAACCGAGGAGTGATACTATCCTTCATGGAAGACAATAGACTGTAAATGCACAGCCAGGGAGACTTATCCTTTCATCTCTGAATTTCCTTCAGCATTTCAAAAGCGAATGCTTTCTAGAAGCCCTGGAGGGGTTTGCACGCTACTGGCTTGGACATGCTTCTAGGAAACAACCTGTGCTTTAATGGGCACTTTGCAATTGCATAGAAGTTCCCATCAAAACAGAAGTGGCCTTTCAAGTACGTTTTAATTCTCTCTCATGATGTCATGTAGGCTTACAGGGTGGTCTGCAAGGACCACAACGGGGGGGGGGGAGAGAGGGAAAAAAAATGGTGGGGTTGAAACGGGAGAAAAGGGGAAAGAGATGTAAAAGATTTGGAAGCACTTTAAAAAGAGGAATGCTGTTTTTCTTTTTTTTTCTTTCTTTTTTTTTTTTTTTTT